GAGTTTTACTTTTAAACTGTAAGTGTTTTAATTTAGTTATGCTAGTTATGATAGTTTAGTTATGATGTAAATACAATAAAATTAAACCAAGATTTATAATAATTATCATTTTGATCCATACATTAGTAATGTCTGACTGGACCTCGTGTCACTTTATGTTCAACAAATTAGCCCCTGAGGTCAAAAAGGTTAAGACCCCCTGATTTAAACACTAATCCTCATCAGTATCACTAAAGTAAGGTTTTGTGTTTGTGTTGTTGCAGTCTGTGAAGGACACTGGTCTGGTCTTCAACCAACATCCCACCCAGCCTGGAGGGTCCAGCAGCCTCCTGAGCCACCTCCCTCTGCACTCACAGCAGCCCTGCAGAACCCCCACCCTCCTCATCTCCATCGGGGGGATTCACATGATCCAGCCCAGGTCCACTCTCCCTCTGTACGACTTGGTGAGCCGCCGGACTGACCCCAGCCTCCCCCATGGACAGATCGCTGTGACGGTCCCTCAAAGAGCCGGAGCCGCCCAGCAGCCGGGCCGGTCCACAGAATCCTGAAGCTTCTGGACAGGAAGGAGAAGGAAGTCTCCCCGTCTAACAGTCATCCGGTCCTGGGACRGACCAGCACTTTTACAGATACTCAAGGCCAAATAAAACTCCGCCTCCTTCCTCTCAGACTCCCCTCTGATTGGACGGAGAGTTTAAAGGGACAGTGCAACAAAACTGAGGCGCAGAGCGTTTAAAGTCCAACAGAAATAAACATGAGCACTTGAGCACCGCTTCTGAATGATGTAATCTTATGAAAAAAAAAATATATATATAGGTACTATGTTAGATATGCAGTACGTTTTGTAAGTCTTTTTTACCCCCTGGTTTGATGTCATTGGTGTTAATTTATTTACGTGCTAATATGCAAAATCTGTACAATATTATGCAACAGCAACAGGATTGAAAATAGTTTTATTCACTTTTCATATTGAACAACTCTAATGTACAGTTGTTGTGTTCATGTACTGTATCAGCAAAACAAATGGAGAAAAAAAAAGTACCACAAATATTTATTCCCTCAGAAGAACTCAGTATTTTGAAGTGCAATTTTCTGTCAGGACTGTAAAACGTCATTTTTTTAAAGCTGTGATTATTGTTCTGATTTGTATGTTTTTCAGTTTTTGTGTTTAAAAAACGTTTCTGCTCAGCTGGTTTAGTTTTTTTATTGTAAGAGAAGTTGTTTGAGGTTAAAAACGTGGAAAAGTTTCATGTTTCTGGTAGTTTGGTAACAAAACACATGTTTGTTTTCTTGTTTTTGTTTTTGACCCAAACATTCAGCTGTTTTCATGTTCATCATTAAACTTCTCATTTTTACAGATTTATATGAAAACTGCAGTAAGTCTCCATTGTTTAATGTCTATGAAATAAAGTTTCTGTCCATTTTGAGGAGAAGGTATGTGGAGCACCTCGGCACAAAGAATATCTTACATGTTGTAGATACTGTAGCACTGCAAAAACTGTCCACCTAACCAAGTTTTAAAACCTTATATCAGCCAAAAAGTCTTTTTGATCTTGTTTTCAGAC